TAGCGAGTACCTATGAAGGCCGGCACGGCAAACGAGGGGAGTGGGTGGCCAGAACCACGCCCGACCACCTTTGTCTCCCCAGTGGTAATGTTTTTACACACCGCACAAGGTACTCATTTGATGCTGAGTCGACATAGGAGAGGCCCATTATCGGTTCAGAAAATCGTCACTGGTGTTGGCCATGAGTGAGAGTCGAACTCGAGTTACCGAGTTCGGAGCGCAGCGCGCTAACAGCTACACTTGCCGCTCTACGTAACACACACACACACGTGTACGCTTGAACACGTGTGTGTGTGTTACAGTGGCTAGCAACACTATGTGACAAAATATGCGGCTTGAGCTCGATTCATCGCCACGACTAACATCATGGACGAGCGATATGTGAATCGGTTCCAGCCCTCCTCGAGGAAGACTCATCCTTAAACGAGTATCTGCCAGTGTGTGGCGAGATGGCAACTACATCGCCTTGTATTCAGGAGAGTTCGTGGGTTCGATCCCGACGCTTGCTGTATATTTGGAGTTTGCATTTCTCTCCAGTGGGTGAAGTAACTATACAAGGCTGTACGGCAACTATACAAGGCTGTACGGGTGGGCGTTTTGTGTATCTTGGTTGGCATTATTGCGTTTTGTGAAATAGGCTATTGAGAAGTTGACAGTAGCTGCCCTCCAGCAACGGAAAACGGAGTGACGCTCACAGAGAGCGGAGTGCCATGCAGATACAAGTTGGGGGAGGGGGTGCGGTTGGTTAATCTGCCAGTCATCCTCGCCAGATAACCTATAACCCCTGGGTCTCTGCCGTGACCCGTCGACAAACCGTCACCGGTCCACGTGGCCTCCAAGTGCACCTAGCTTAACGCAAACACCGTGGTGGCAGCGGTCCGTTGACGGTCCTGAAACTCCACATTCCTATGTATGGGAACAGTCTCACCGGAGAACAGCATCGAGATCGTGTTGACTGCTTTAAGGGTCTTGGGCAGGACATGTTGCCGGAAGGCGTCATCCAGACGAATGTCAGTGACAGCCAAAGGATGGAACGCGCCAATAAAGATGTCCCACCTTGGAGCGATACAAATAATCCCATCTGCGGAGCAGGATGGATTGTTGCAATCACAAGACCGTGACAGTTGCCAATGGCTTAAGGGAGCCTTCATCCAGCAGCGGAGAGATTGTGGCTGGTAATGATATGGTCAAATAGACTCGACGAGTCCCAAGGCTCCAGTTTCAATAGCGTCCTACATTCGGATGTTTAGCCGATTCTATTGATAAATATTTCAACGTTTTGTGTTATACACGCAAAGACTGTAGGGGCAAATCCCGTTAGAAAGCACATATGAAGGCCGGCACAGAACGTGAGGGGGTTGGTGGCCAGCACCAGGCACGACCACCGCCCATCCTCTCCCTGGTGGCAATGTTTACACACCGAACCACGCACTCATTTGAGGCTGAGTCGATCTAGGGGAAACCCAGGTCCGTTTCAGATAATTGTCACTGGTCCATAATACAGGGTTTTTGTTGGGGTTAGATCGCGTAAATGTGTCGTTAAACCCGCCACCACCCGACACAGCCAATTAGTAAGGTTTGTCACGTGAACAGAACATGCCAATTCGTTACTAGTGTAGCACACCGGTGTGTTGGAGAGCAAAACCACAACCGCTAGTTGTAATTACTGGCGAAACTTCGTATTCAGATTGTAAATGTTGCTCTCCAACACACCGGTGTGCTGGACTAGTAACAAATTGGCATGTTCTGTTCACATGACAAACCTTACGAATTGGCTGCGTCAGGTGGTGGCGGGTTTGACGACACATTTATATTTACGCGATCTAACCCAAAAAAACTGTACTATAGATGATATTGGTCGCGAAAGCGTCCTACGTGTTAAACTGAATTGTCACGAGTGTTGGCCGTGAGCGGGAATCGAATACGCGTCGCCAGATTCGTAGCGCGGCATGCTAACCGCTGCGCGACCGCTCCCCGTCACACAACAACGAGTGGCGATGACATCACCACGGCGCTTGTGCCAGGCTATGTGCACGTTGAGGCCACGTGAAGTGTCGACCGCCCGCCGGCAGGTCACGGGGCATACCCAGATTGCATGGGACGACTGCGATGACTGGCCCATGCACCATCTGTGCCCCCTACTGTGCCACACACACACACGCCGACACAGCGTGTACAGAATCCGGGCTGTAACCCGATTAAAGGCACTCGAAGGGAAACAAAAGGCAAGGCAAAGACTTCCTTGTAGCGCCCAAGCTCTCACGTCAACGGAGCTCAGCGTGTAAGAATGTAATCAAGATAATGGCAGAATCCCGCGTGGCTTTTAATCCCGGATAACCAGGGAGCAGGAAGAGCAGGGCTTGCTTGCTTGCTTCGTCTGCTGGGCATGCACTCGATATTTTAGGTCGGCTGTGCGAGGGACACCTTTCCGAAGCAGAGGCGATTGGCGAGCATCGTCGTTTTGACCTTTGCAACCGGAGGTGGAGGACGAGACGCGTCTAAACGCTCAAGAGAAGCACTCTGCGGTTTGCGTTAAACCGGTGGTGGTTTTTACCTTCACTGGAGCTTGCACCCCTTTGAGTCTATAGCGTTTTAAAAAATGTACGTGAATAAATACATCGGTTTGCTGAAACAAAGTAGTTGTACTTACGTGCGCGTGCTTAATTCGTGTTTTCGATTATTTACCTTTAAAAAAAATCTGGAATGTCTCGCACCCCCAGAAAGGGCATCTCGCACCCCCAGGGGGTTAAGAAGAACCACTGTGCTAAACTGTTGGGAGGCCCACGCAGAGCCAAGGGTAGATGGTTCCTCATTCAAATATCCACGGCCCTACATTGGACAACTGTTGAATTAACTCTGCACATTCTTTGGTTCTTTCGGTAAAGTCACGTAGAACGAGAATAAAATAATAAATTGATAAAATAAAATAACACAATAAAATTCTCACGACGACCTGATGAAGGCCGCTTGTGTTGCGGCCGAAACGTCGTGAGAATTTTATTGCGTTATTTTATTTTATCAATTTATTATTTTATTCTCATTCTACGTGACTTTACCGAAAGAACCAAAGAAGATGAACCCTTGCAGTCACGAAAGCTTTAAATCGAAATTTAACTCTGCACAGGCCTTAACCAGCCTCTCCATAGGCAACTGCTGCATTTCAACGGTGCTGTGCACGTCATTGACCACGAGGTGGCGATGGGCTGGGGCTTTGAGATTAGGAACCTTCAGATTGTAAATCGAGTACAGTACTCTGGTCAGGAACTGAAATGAGGTCGCTGGATTAGCGAGCGAGCGTGCCGAATGACCAGAGCGTGACTTCTTAAACGCGTTTTAAAATTAAAGGGACGTGCTGGCGGTCGGGTACAAGCACAGCCCAGCGTAACGTCCCCAGTACCATCATTAGCGCTGCCTTGTAACACAACGCACGCCGCAGCACGCTAACATTTTGTAGAAGTGGGGAGGGGGGGACGACTCCACATTTCAACCCATTTTGTTTGTTATGTCGTATTTTAAATTCAAGGCCGTTGGCTCATTTCACAGTAATTCACCACTAGTCAGCGTGTGGTCCTTGAAGCGAGTGACGTAAACCAGCTCAGATATCACGCACCACCGGTTGGCATGTGTCAAATGCCAGGAATGTATCGCTGGTCACAAAACTTCAGGAGTTTGACAACCACTGCCCCACCGCTCCCCCCCCCCCCCCCCCATAACCAAAATGGTGTGGGTAGATCTTCATGCGGTAATGGGTTGACATGCCTATAAAATTAAGGCCGTGGATCGTTCAACGATTCATCGAAGTGGCACACGGCAGTGGCGTGCGCCCGAAATCCATTTCTTGAGGCGAGCGCGGCTGGACGAGTGATATCTGGACCAGTCCTGGGGTGCCCCTTCACCAACCGTACCGACCAGCGTGAAGCATGGTTAAACTACCGATGGCCACCGCAGCACGAGTCGGCCCTCAAACACGACATGGTTAACAAGAAAAGAATAATTTAAAAAATATATAAAACAATAAAATTTTCTTGCTGTGGTTTTCACACCTGATGATGATTGCTTGTGTTGCAGTCGAAACGTCGTGAGCATTTTGTTTTATATTTTTATTATTTCCCTTCTACGTGGTGACTTTACCGAAAGAACCAAGAATATGAATCTCTGCAGTCACGAAAGCTTTTAAATCAAAATTTTACATGGTTAGTCAATGGGTTGCCAATCACAACAGCAGATTATAGGCTTTTAAAGTTATGAATTGCTTGGCTATAATGCATCAGTAGATGGCAGTACATCATTGTGTACACGGAGTTATCCAACGAATATGCGTGGGGAGTTTCCTCTCATGGGGGAAAGTCAACGATAGATATTTCTATCCAGGGCCCTTCCAAAATAATCTGCAGACAGTATCCTGTCTGCTTACACACTGCAATAATAAATCCAAATACATTTTTGAAGCAGAAAATGCATTTCCTTCCATTTTCTCCAATTTAAAAAAGCATTTTTCGCAATAATCAATCGGGCCCCCAAGGCGTGCCGAATTTCAGCAGCTTTCATTCGGTACACCAATCTTTAAGATGTTGCTGGTCAGCTAAATGCAGCTAGAACAGATGTGGCTTGCATAACTCGGCAAACTACAATGGATATCGCCGCACCACCGACCTCCCGAGTAGCTCCGCAGATGAACCGTGAAAGTGGTGAAATTTATTTTACACGGTCGTGGGTCACCCTCCTCACCAACCCACCCAACAGCACGAAGTATTAACACGTAGGATTCCGCGACCAGTAATATCCACAAGGATCGCGTGACTGTAAACGTGTCGTCAAACCCGCCAAAGCCACTTCGTAAAGTTCGTCACGTATGGAGCACGAAGTATTATAGCCAGTCAAACCTCTGTCACCAGCCTTATACAATCTTGATTTGCCTGATCCAACAGTGGATTGACAAAGGGGCTGCGTATTTTTTGTATTAAAACTTGAGACAAACCAAAGAAACGTGCAATTTGTACTTTTTTAAAGCAAACTTTAATGCTTGTGTTTAGTCCAAAGCCAAACTGACAAAAATACAGTCCACGAGTTACAACGGTCCGACTTACGATATTTCGATCTTACGGTGGCGATACGACAAAATTGTAAAATATTTGCAATGTCGCACGGCAGGCAAACGCAGCAGCGTACGAGGTACGATAAAAACACATAAATACATACAGTATATAGTTTATACAGTACGGTACTGTAAATTGCTCTGTTTTGCTAAATTATCACCATTCTTTAAGACTCCTGGGTAGGCGAGGCCATCTTCGACTTACGATATTTTTGACTTACGATGGGGTCGTCGTAACGCATCTCCATCGTAAGTAGAGGACTACCTGTATTCTGGCTCTTACTAAAAAACATATTTGAGGAATATTTACAAAAATGTTAAAAATGAAAATCCAATAACATTTCTCAAATGCATGCCCACCATTGTCGAGGCCTTCATCCAACAATGTATTGACAAAACGGCTGTATGTTTATCATTCACATATTCATCAAGACAAAACCAAAATCTAAACAAGGAGTAAATGTTTGTAATAAAAGTGTCGTCTTTCTGCATACAAAACACAAATTGCACTCAAATCCTCCAGCCCATTTCCAGGGTGGCTTCGCAACACCACTTGCAACGTCCTTGCTCGTTTCGTTTCTTGCATCCACGGCATGTTTGACAGGAGAGGGCAAGGCACACACAGCAACACGCACAACTGTTAACATCACGTTATGTTTATAGAAATTGCATAAAAAACAAACGCCGTTGCATTAAACTTCTATACAACAGCACATCATCCTTGCAAGCAGTATTTGTTGCAATGGCACGTGCACGAAATATATATTTGCCATCAAACCTAAACCTTGTTGTTAAAACTGGTTTTCCATGATGTATCAGTAGCTCATGTTAATGGTTTCTAGAATGATTAATGAAAGCTGAGTAACGGAAAACTGCAGCACGCCCCCCCCCCCCCCCCCCCCCCAGATACATGCAGCAAAAAATGGCAGTTTTATGCACGATGTTACGCAAACCTGTACACTTAAAACTCATAACCACCTACCTACACAAAATCTAAATCAGTATTCTCCTTATCAACTCAAAGCAAACACAAATGGAATTTGAATGGAAGACCGACAGGTAAATGTATAACCCATGGTCCAGTGCCAGATACAAATCTGTGGGAACGGTAGAGAAGCCAAAGCGAGCAGTCATTTTTTTTTTTCAAAATTACACACGAGCCTTCTGGAATGGTGACTGCGACCTAAAAATATCAAAACCGGTTAAGCTTGTGCGTTAACATACGCTTCTGGCTAACATGTCTGGAAGGTCATTAGGCAATGGAATAAACATATAATTTGCATGTGGATGGTAAATCCAATGATTTAACGATTTCAAAACTGGACTTTTATCAACAGCCACTGCTAGTCACGTGCTGTTAGAATTCTAATCATAACAATTTTAATCTAAGATAATGAAATTTACTGCCGAACGCATCTCGACGTCATTGGTGATGGGATTTGCTGGACCATACTTCACCACGTTGGTCAGTGTGGGTTGGCAAAGCGCGATTAAAATTCATTCAACGCACTTTAAATACAGTATAATTATTCAACTAAAACATGGGCTTTATAGCGCCGCACCTTGTTCGAGTTCTAAAAATACACATTTAGAAATGTTAATCGATACGTTTAAAAGAAACGGTATTATTTTAGGCCAAAACAGAAACCCAGTATTAGCGAATGGCAACGTTGATTCCCAAAAAAGGCCTCAGCTTGAAAACTTGAAGTCATGCAGCTGCCACCCGGGGTCTCCGCAAGAGAACCGTGTGTGGGAAGAGGTCATACGAGCCGGCACTACGCTTCCGAGGCCGGCTCGGATTTGGTGGGGCCACCGAGACCCACTTGACCTCCCCCGCCCAGAAGCCGGGTCTATGTTCCAGCACCCGGCCTCCCTGATATGGGGCCGCGGGCTACCCCGACCCTGGGTGTCTTCCAGCAGGGCCGGGATGTGAAAGCCGCGCGCCCGATGAGACCCCGCGGCAGCATTGTGGCTGCAATCAGACCTTTTACTTGCTCATCATCGGCCTTTTCAGGTTGTTTTTGTTTGTTTCAGGTATTCATTAAACTACTATAAAAAAAACATCCACCGTCTCATCTAAGATCGCGGTGAACAATATCGACGTTGCCGACCCAACTCATCGCCATACGCGACGTTTGGTCTTTCCGACAAGCCGTGGTGACATTTGAAACGCCACCGTGGTGGGGGAAGAGACAAAACGGCCTTCATTTGTATCGATCGTATTGTGCCTGCCCCCGGCGGACTGTTTAAAACCCAACTGCGGGACTTGGCACTTAAAAGCAATTAGAAGCCAAACTTAAAAGGTTCAGATGATTACTCATTCAAGTTGAATTTGCTGTACTTCAATTAGTGACAGCGTGCACAAAACGGTACCCCCCCCCACCCCCCCCCCCAATTAAACAAGAGCAGCCATTTCCCAATTATTGTAATTTCACCATTATTTTGTTCGCTCTATTTTTTTACATAAACGTCGAATTACAACAAAGGCCACGACGACCCCGTTGCGTTACAACGGCACAACAACGTGGGTAACGAGACTGGAGCGCACACAGTAAAAAAAAACACCGCATGCAAGCCCCCAAAATCGCAAGTTGTTGACACGTGGAGGAGGGGGAGTCAGCGAGCGCGTTGGTACCAAACCGCGCGTGTCTCTCCTTTTACCTCTTGCCCACAAACTGGAAGCCGCCGCCGCCACCACCGCCCGGTGATGATGAGGACGACGACGAGACGAATCGCCATTAAAACCACGACGGCCGATCCTCGGGAAAGCCAAAAATGGGGGGGGGGGGAGGAAGTTCACGGGAAGTTCCATAGTTCATTTATTTGGTATAGCCCTGTGAGCCATTCGGCTCTTGAATTGGGTGCAACCGCAACAAACAAAAACATGAACAAGAAAACATCTTACAGTGACTGTGACTCTGTGCAAACAGAAAATCCAGGAAAAAACATCAAAATATTCCTGAAATAGCACCGTACACCAACGCTGTGTGCAAAAATCCCAGTGGGATGCAAGTCAAACAACAAGAACAACCACAAGACAACTAAGATTAAGGCCATCAGTCTAACTCCGTACCACAATACACAAAAACATGGCCAGAACCAAAGACCTCGAGGAAGAGACCCGCCCGCTCGAAAGATCCCTCTCCTGACCTTCGATCTTTCCGCAAAAGCTTTGGTGGGCCACAGCCCTCTTAACAAAACCACGCGGCAACTGTGGTGGTCAACAACAACCCAGGGCAGTGGACACACAGCGGGCCCGCAATGCCCGACTGGCAAAAACGATGGGTGGCATCGCAGCGATTAATGCAAACCGGCCCCTAGCCTTATTACAGACCAATTCAGGCCGTATTGGTCACCCCCGTGCCCTTATAAATCTCAACGTTCATCCTACAAAGTCCCATCACAAGGAAGAAACAAAGTTTAACACGTGGTCTTTCGCGACCAATATCCACAATTCACCAAACCGTACGGGTCGAGAGCTATGTTCATGTAGCAGCAACTGGCACCATTCCGAACGTAACCACCGCCAATGTAAATCGAGTCCCAGTCGGCCGTGTTTAACCATACTTCACCACCGACGCAATCGGGTTATCGGTTCAAGTCCCCATTGCGGATTGAAAGCCGCCCATCATCTCGCTCCGACGTCGTAAAATAGTTAACAGTGTTGTGGTAACTAAAAGCACGGATGTGGAACGTGGAATGGACATCGACGGCTGTAAAGACAGCAACACCCCGCGCCCGTTTGAGAGGACGCTCGGAATTGCTGTTTTCTACATTAAACACTATTTACTTAAACTTTACATGACGACAAGGCTACAGTTAAAATAAGCAAGCACGCTATGAAGTTACAATGGGGCACACGTGAGGCCAACTACAAAACAAGAGGGAAAACAACTACTTTGTGTGTATATATTGAATATACTTCTAAACAGCGCACATTCGAGGTTCCACGATATTATTAATTCTGTTTTTAAAATAAACAAACTCGACTATACGGCTCGAAGTTTTTATATCGCCGAAGAAATGAGCGCGAAAAGCCCCGCGCCGCTAGGCCTCCAAACCGCGCGCGCCGCCATTGCGGCTCCTTCCGGTGACGTCACGCTCCGGGCGCCGACGAATCAGAGCGCGCGCTCCCTCGCCATTTAAAGCGTTGAGGGGGGGGAGGTTACATCGGTAATGACGTCATCACGCCTATGTACCGTGGATGACGTCACCGCAGTTATGGACGAGCAATTGCTTCGTCGTCGCGGATGACGTCATCACATATGGGGGAGGGACAAGCTTTTATTCGCGATGACGTCACGTCGTATTTTATTCCTATGCTCCGTATTTAGCACACGCTTTACACGTGATACATTTAAAACTTAAAAAAATTAACGTGCCGTCATTCTCTCACGTTATTCTTGCCGTTGGATAGCGATGACTTCATTGTTTTTCGCCGACGTCATATTTCAACGAAGCGGTCGATGACATATTTTCGTGCCCGCAGAGGACAATTGCGTCATCATACTTCACGTGAGTAGTGACGTCATCGCCACTGGGTAACCCACGCGCATTGCGTTGTGGGATTATACAGATAGTACAGTATTAAAGCTTTCGTGACTGCATAAAATTACTCATTGGTTTTTTCGGTAAAGTCACGTATGTAGAAATACAATAAAATTATATTTCAATATATTGAAATAAATAAAATTATATTTCAATATAATTGTATTTCTATATACGTGACTTTACCGAAAAAAAACAATGAGTAATTATACAAATAGGTCATCGTGACCGAGGGACCATCATCTGACACAGATGGCTCTTACCTGTACATATCTGGCAATTCACGAACATTGATTAATGATGTGTCCAGATAGATATCGCAAGGTGTATACTGTATTAGGGGCCGTCCATAAATGACGTCACGCACCTGGGGGGGGGGTCAGACATTTGTGACGATGTGTGACGAGGGGGGGGGGTGAGAAATGTGACGTCACATCAAAATTCGCAACTTTAAATAAACATAGAAAACACGTTCTACTTAATTAAATTGACTTTTTAATAAATGTTTTCTCCTACAACATCAGAGTGCAGCGACACATTAAATACGCACTTCAATGACAAAAGTTTAAAGCGATTTGAAGCATGTTTTATGTTTTTTTTTTGGGGGGGGGCAGAGCTTTGTGACGTCATATTTGAGGGGGGGCCTGACTTTTTGTGACGCCGTGTGACGAGGGCGGGGGGGTCAAAAATCGTCCAAAATCGCGTGACGTCATTTATGAACGGCCCCTTACCTGCTTATATTCATCTTACCTGATTTATTAGACCATCGTGACCTAGGACGTTTCGACAGTAATTACAACCAGCTTCATCAGGCGACAGCCAGATTGGTGGTGAAGTCTAACTGTACTCGTAACGAATTGGCACGTTCTGTTTACGTGTCAACCCTTACTAGTTGGCTGTGTCGGGTGGTGGCGGGTTTTAACGACACATTTATAGATTTACGCGATCTAACCCAAAACAAAACCTCTATTATGGATGATGACCTACGCCATATTTAGGGCAGCCCACCTCGCCATTGCTTCCTTCCTTCTGCCAGATCACGCAGCAGCTGCTGGGATCGCTCATCCTTGGACGCTGTGACACCCCCCGAAACGTTGGACATTGACCCCCGCTAGAGAACCTCGTGGGTGGAGGGAGAGGCCAAGGGTCGGCCGCAGGCCTCGTGGACCGCTGCCTTCGAGTCTGCACCTCGGGGACAGGAGCGGCCTCGCTTAGGGGCTCTGCCAGGAGGGACTCTCTGGATGGGGTATGGTCGGGGGGGGGGGGGGGGGTGGGTGCTTTTGTTAATAGCGCTCTGCTATAAGGCTCATTGCCCGAAACGTCGCCTATTTTACATTGGCTTTCCCTTCAGTGCAGCGTTATTGGCGTAATGTGTTGTTGAGCTTGCATCACGTAACGGCCCGATTGACACAATCTGCTCTAGCGCAGCGTTCGTCCAATTTGTGTTGGCCCCGCGGATCACACGGTCAACACAAACCCTCCCTCTGTCTCTCTCAAGGGCAGTGATACCAAACGATTAATATTACCGTAACACACAAAATTATATATAATATATAATTTATATAATATATACTTATATATATACTTATATATAAAAAAACATCTATATATAAAACGATATACAAATATATATTTAAATATTATCCAAAACATGAAAATATATTAAAGATATATTTATATACAAATAAAACTCATGTAATTCACGTAGATATCAGGTTTATTTTAGGGGGAGGGCATTTTGAACTTTATTTTTATACATTAAATATCACAAGTGAAATATTAATGTCCGACACAAAAGGGGTTAAACAACTTTGTCGTGATTGTCCGGATCAAGCTGCGTTTTGCATCACAGCCCCCGCGGCCGGCCTGGAGAAGCCGTCGTGGACCACGTGGTGGTTGTGGGAATGGCACCGGGGTGGCACCAGGGTGGTATAGGGGTGGCACCGTGGTGCAACCAGGGTGGCACCGTGGTGGTAGCGGGGTGGTACTGGGGTGGTATAGGGGTGGTACCGTGGTGGTATAGGGGTGGCACCAGGGTGGTACCGTGGTGGTACCGTGGTGGTATAGGGGTGGTACCGTGGTGGTACCGGGGTGGTACCGGGGTGGTATAGGGGTGGCACCGTGGTGGTACCGTGGTGCAACCGGTGCCACCGTGGTGGGTACCGTGATGGGACTGGGGTGGTCACAGGATGGGACCGGGGTGGTTACCAGGGCGGGGCCCACCACCCTGAGAACCACTGCTCCAGCCGAGTCACAGCCCACATCACAGATCTCCATCATCACCCCCTGCAGCTGAGACGGCAGAGGGCGAGGTTTGTTGTGCACGCGGAGGAGGTGAGTGGGGCGGGGTTGGAGAGAGGGAGGGGGGGAGGGAGGGGGGAGAGAGGGCCACGTGGAAACTCCGCGTGTGTTTGCTATCTCATTCCACTCTCCCTGCCGCCCTCGTTCGCTGCTCCCTGCATCAAGCGTCCGGTCAAACTCGCTTGCCTCAGCTGTTTCTTGCTGGTGGTGCTGCTGTTTCTGCTGCACGCGTGACTCCCGTAGCAGGCGAGGCCGGACACGGGCAAACAGTCGCAGCAGGTCACAGAAGCGGCGGCACGAATAAGAAGGGGGGGGGGGGGTAAGCAGCAGTAGCAGCAGTCGAAGGAGGCGCAACGGCAGTGATTTATAGACGCGGTCTCAGCAGAACCAGAGGCTCGACCCCGGGCCGCATTACAAGGGGTGACTTCACCGCGTGTGTTAGGGTGCTGCGCTGTGTGTGGATAAGTGGCACACACACGCGCGCATCATAACACACATCACACGCACAGCACTCAGAGCAAACATACACAGCACACACAACATACGCAGCAGGCAGGCATCATACGGGCAGCACACAGACACAGCACACACGTGCACGTCGGACCGGGCTGCGTTGGAGCTCACACAGCTCATCAGGCTTAGCTCATAGGGTGCCTCTCGAGAGACGCCGCACGTGTGAAGAGCTATGCGCAGTGTACTCGCGTCAACAGCGACTCTTCCTCGGATCAGGCCCGTGGCCCCACACATTCAACTTCTGCAGCGACTCGTATTCACGTCGGCACGGGAAACGAGCTGCGCCCGTAGTTAGGCTGAATCGACCAAACAGCAGCAGCTGCATTGTCATCAACATCATCAGCAGCAGTATCATTACCATCAGCAGCAGTATCATACTCACAATCGCTACAAGCATCACTGTCATCATTCGCCACTAATATCGTCACATCTCCGTCATCAGCATAACATCATAACAACCACCACCACGTCCTCTTCATCACATCACCACCACCTCCATCATCAGCGATGACCGCGGCGACCCTGGAGCCCGTGAGTCTGCGCGCCTCGCTGTGCGCGCTCGGCGCCACGCTCTGCCTCTGCTGGGCACTGCGCTGGAGCGCGCGGCGCGCCCTGCCCCTCGCCCTCCTGCCCGCGGCGCTGGAGGTAACCGCCACCCTACAGCTCTGCTGCTGCGCCCTGGAGCAGCGACTGGCCGCGGAGAGCGGCGCCGCTCCGCGCTGGCTCGGCCTGGGGCTCGTGTTCGTCACCTCGGCGGCGCACGGCGCCACGGGAGCCGGCGCCACGTGCAGCCCCTGCTCGGCGCTCGAGCGCGTGCTTTTACGCACGGAAGGGCCGCGCACGGCGATGGCGCGCGTCTTTGCGCAGGTGCGGGGGCTCGGGTGGAGGTGGGAGGGTGGTTTAGAGTTGGCAGATACAGAGATGTAGAGGGTACGGGGGATTTTAGATGGGTGAAGAGGAGGGATTAACGCGGGGAGGAGGCGAAGCATATCGTTCTATTACGCACGGAAGGTAGACGATCGCGCGCGTCTTTGCGCGCGTGTGCGACTTTGGAGGGAGGGGGTGGTGTAAAGGAGGTATCGCTGAGATGTGGAGACAGAGAGGTGGTGGGAGAGACGTGTGGAGATGGCTAGGGGGATGGAGATCTGAGATGGAATCAGCAGAGACAGACCCGAAGCTCTAGCGCGTTATTACGCACCGAGGGGATAGGGGTCGGTAACAACATGGAGAGAGACAGACAGAGCCGAACAGATGGAGAGAAATAGTAATGATAACAAACGCCGCTTGTTTACCCAGAAGAACCTCGCTGTCTCGAGACTCTTTTCAGGAGGGCCCTGCTACATCGCGTTGTTTGACCATTGCCCACGCCGCTTCAAGATCCCACGTTGGAACAGAAGTTCCGGCGGTCGGAACCTTCCCTGCTCCTAACCTCTCTGTCCGGACCCCCCCCCCAACCCCGCCGCCCTTACCCACCCCTCCCAGGTGTGCGGCGCGGCGCTGGCACTGCGCGTCACGGGGGCGGCGTGGCGGCTCTTAGGGGGCGCCCACGCCCTCGCCGTGGGGGTCTACGTGGAGCGGTCGCCGGGGGTCGCGTGGCTCTGCCCGAGTCCGCTGCGCGCGGGGCTCCCGCTGGGCGCGGTCGTGGAGGCGCTGTGCGCGCTCGCGTTCCACGTGGCGGCGGCGCAAGCAGCCGCGCGCCTCCGGCCGACGGCGCGCTTGGCGGCCGTCTCAGCAGCGGTCACAGCCATCGTCTACGCCGGTGGGAAACCCCGCGGAGGGGCGGGCGGGCGGGCGGGCGATTGAAAGAACGAACGGATGCTCGAGTGAATGAAAGGGAGAGGGAATGAAGGCGCGAATGAATACTCTAGGAAAGTAATGAGTGGGCCGGCACCGTCCACGCGTGTGCAAAGCGGGGTGTGGGAGCCCCGCGGACGGACGGGACAGCGAACGATTGAAAGAACGAACTCAAGCATGAACGAATGAGCGAAGGAATACTCGAGCGAATGAGTGAACCAGTGAATGAAATGCGGAGTGAATGAATTATCTAAGAAACGAAGGAATGAACGCGCGAAATCTTCGAATGAACGAGTGAACGTGGCATCCCGATCACCTCGCCGTGGTGTACCCCCATCCACCCTCGCGGGTGGAAACTGGAGCCACTGCTTCGAACCGCCACACCGAGAAAGTGAATGGAACCTACGACCTCTGCATTACAAGTCCAGCGCGCCAAACATCTACGCCACCACGCAAGCCTCCCTTGGCGAGACTCCATCTCAATTAAACGGCACTTCTCCCTGGCGCCATGGCTAGCAGCCTAAACAGGGCACATCGCCGTGCCGGTTAATTTAAGCCGGGCGCAACCTCTGGGTTCACGCACGCAAATATCCCCGTCACTCGCACGTGCCCGGAACGGAAATCCAATCGCGACGCGGGCGAAGACGCCACCGGCATGCACCCTTAGCATCGCCACGTGGGCCTCTGAGAGGGCATTGTGTGAATAATAATACTGATGTTGTAACCAATCAATATTAATGCTACTAATCATCATGCCAATATATTTTTTACATGAATGCCTCGATGAGCATCTAAACATTTTTTTAAGAAGGGCCTTGCCACATTGGAAATGTTGCCACATCCTATCGGCCATACGGCCTTCTGGGAGTGTACACACTTTGGGATTGGTTCAAGCAAGCTTGCTGGGCTCTGCTGATGAGGACGCTGAATGCCGGACACGGCCCAGAATTTTGCTCGTGTTGAACTTGTGCTGCTGAAATTATGCACTTCCAGAAGGCAGTGTGACTGATGGCACGTGTAAACAAAAACATACTTACAATGTTGCACGTCGAGGGTCTGGTATGAGGAGGCAGAATGCCTGCTTAATTGTTATTTTTTATGTTGTCCACAACGATGCAAAGGGTTAAACTATTTATTTATTCTTATTTTAACAGGTAAGGCCCACTGAGCTATACGGCTCTTTTTCAGAAGCGACCTGGCCACAAATGATAACAAAGTGGCTTATAATCGAGTGGACATTTTATAGCAGCTAAATACTCTTGAACGCACGTTGGTTCTTAATGTGGCGGGAAAAACCCAAGGACCCGGAGAAAAATCCACGCGACCACGGGGAGAACATGCAAACTCCAAATATACAGCAGGCGTCAGAGTCGGAATCAAACCCACGACCTCCCGCATACCAGGCGCGGTCGTTAACATATCGCCACCGATGATCATGGGATTTTTGGTGAACTTGTTTTTCGTGAGAGTTTAGCTTCGTGTGGGAAGGACACGGAGATAACCCAGACACGTATCCAAGGGGGTTGCACTCAAGCAGCCACATCAGTGGACTCATGGATCCATCGCCCGACCATCATCTGACTGGGTAGACCTTTAAAATAATACATTTATATTAGATACCGTGCCATGAAACGAACGTGGAATTTCCACCAGAGTAGAAAACCCACTGCGTAGAATACCGCGTAGCCCCGCGCCTGCAACACCCGTGGGCAAGCCCTGGTGGTGGTCACCCATCCAAGTACTCGCCAGGTTCATCGCCGCTTGGCTTCCGAGGTGCGACAAGATCGGGCGAGTCTCACGGCGCTTTGCTTGTGGTGGCCCCAGAGAGCTCTTGGTGGCCTGCACAGTGATGGGTGATTGACGATGGGCGGTGGTGGGTGATAGGTGATCGTGAAGGGCGATGGTTGATTGCGATGCGTGATGGTGATGCTGTGTGCAGAGCACGGGTGTTGGTGAGTGACGTTCACAATCGGTGATGTCTGGTGATGACGATGATTGACAGGTAACAGTGATGATGATGGTGATGATAGTGACGTTGGTTGTTCTGTGCACACAGCTGGCTCCATGATAGTTCTGTGAGTAACCCTGACCTGATGATGGTGTTGATGATTACGAAGTTTGGTGGTGGTGATAATGATTGACAGGTGATGTTGGTCGTTCTGTGCTCGCAGCTGGCTTCATGATAGGTCTGTGTTTAACCCTGACCTGATGATGTTGATGATTACAATGTTTGGTGGTGATGATTGACAGGTGATGATGATGTTGGTCGTTGTGCTCGCAGCTGGCTCCATCACAGGCGGCGTGTTTAACCCTGTGCTGGCTGCCACGTTCACCCTGGGCTGCCCGGGTCACTCCACCCTGGACTATGCCCTGGTCTACGGAGTCGCCCCACTCATAGGTGCGTCACCCACACCATCATCATCATCACCACCATCGTCGCCACCATGGTCGGTGTGATCATCACAATTGTCACCAGTAACATTGCCATTATCATCATCATCATCGTGACCAACATCATCACTGTCGTGATTGCCTTATCATCATCATCACGTATACAGACATAATCACTATCATCATCATCACCAGCAGCAAGACCATCATAATTAACATCATCATTAGCGGCAAAGTGAAAAAAGTAACACCACACCACCACACACCTAAAGTCGCCTTTCATCAAGAACAATAATCACCATCGTCACCATCGACCCATTCGTTACGCACACATGCCCCATGCCCTTTGAGCATCATGAGCCAGTCTCTGTCTACTGCTGGGCTCAGGCCTCACCCCCCACCCCTCTCCACAACGGAGCCGCAGCCTCAAGCGGCTGCGCGCGAATTTCCGTGCGGACTGTGCCGGCGGCGACGCACGGACGCCGTTCATCTCTCTCGGTGTTACCGCGTGACCGGCGATTTGAAGTTGGGTGGGTAGGGGGGGTGCAGTAGGCAGGAACACCCCTTAGTGGGGGGTGGGGGGCGACCTTTCCTAGCAGCTGCCCCCCCCCCCCCGCACTCTGTCAACCACGCGGATTTGAGATCAAATCTCTCCGTTCAACGCACGCGTTCGGCACCATGTCCGACGTTTTGCTCCGCGGGCCGCCGAGAGCTTTTTCAGCCAGAGGCGAATCTAGAAGGGGGGAGGGGATGGGGGGATGCCCCTCCCCGAATCCTTTCATGTTTGTTATGTGGAGGGGCAGACATATGAAGGATACTTTATTTGCCCATAGAGTGTCTGCTTAATTATTTAAAAGCATTTTAAGCCCCCCCCCCCCCACTTTTTACGGACATGTTGTAACCCAAGGGAATGCCATCAGAGACAATCGCGGAGCACACCACCTCTTTAAGAGAGGGAGGGGTGTTCTCACGACCGGCATGGAAGCGGGCCAGGGGCAGCCACGATGATGATGACACTGCTGCTGATAACAATTATACTTCTGATAACGACAAATACGATGATGCTGCTCACACCGCTGTTGTTGCTGCTGACGAGCTGCAAAATTGCGCAGTGGCGGGTCACAATTTTCATGACGACGATGATGACGCTGCCGACGCACTTGCCCATTTTGATTATGTTTTTTTTTAATTCCAGGAATGACAGCGGCCTGCATTGTGTGCAACGGCCAAATTCCGCTCTTACGTGGAGGAAAACGAGATGAGAAAACCGATTAGGTTGCGCAACTCGGGCACACGGCAGTCGAAACGCGCACGCCAAGACCGAGCACACGTCACACGCCAGGGAGTGGTGCAGCGGGAGGACAGTGCTGTGGTGGTTAACACACTCGGCCCGCACGCCTGGAGGGTGTACAACACGGGGGCGTGGTACAGTCACCGCAGCGCGCCGTGCAGAAAAATTACGTCAAGTTGGGGCTTTGATTAATTTACCAGAGCCGGTTAAGTCACCCGCTGCCCTTTATAGACATCGTGGACGTCCCCACTGGCATCGTGATCTTCCGAAGGCAGGACGGGAAACCCCCCTATAGAAGGAAAGTCACGATCCCAGCGTGACGCGGCTGATGACGCCGATGGTGCGGCGAGGTAACGCCCACCACCTCCCGTCCGGCGGCACGCGTGGGCAATAGAGGTGAGATCGTTTCAACAAATCGTACGCGTTTTCCGATTAGCCGGGTAACGTTGAACCGAAAATAATCTACAATCGATTCCTTAATTAATCACACAGCCCAGCGATGTAATTTATCTTCCGATGGTGAACACTATACGGGTAACATTTTCAGGGGGTAAAAATGCAACAATTCCTCAAATTAATGAGTAATCTCGACGAATGTCGGGCGATATCGAACGCCAGCTCACGATGGGCTATGCGTTTCACTTGAGCCTCACGTTTTAACCTGCGGCATTACTTTGTACTACTGTGAGAAAGAAAAAAAAAACGGGGTCTTATGAACCTGAGAAAGTTTCTCAGCGAGAATCTCTCAAAATCGTTTTATTCCAAAAGAGAGAGAGCAAACCCACTGCTGGTGTCTGCCGAGCAGAACTCGTGACCTCTCGCCCGATCACGCGCCCAGAGGGCCACGTCGCGCACGCGTCGGCCAGCACGGAGTTGGACAAACGTGCCGGGATAGGACCGCAGAGCTTGGGTAACTGTCGGCGCCGTCCCTGGCTGCCCTTCCAGCTTGTCTGTGGTTTCCCGTGCTTCCGGAAGGTCCTCTCTCTCCCAGCGACAGCGAGCGAGCGAGCGGGTACGGCGCGCATTACAAATTATGAGGATTGTTTTTATTTATTTACTCCTCTGTCACGCGAACTGAAGCCGTGCGGCGAAATCGCTTCGCGCTTTGCTTCGCATGGGCGTGCGACATCTCGCGCGCAATCCACACCGTGACCGCGTCAAACGCTCGGTCGTGCACAGCTGCCCTGGAACGTTCAGTGCGATGCACCAATTCATCTCGATTATTGCAAACGCACACAATACTTGCATAAAATCTGTGCGCATAAGATTCCAAGGGGTTAATTGCGACCGCTGCCACCACGATAGGCTGCGACACAGCCACGGCTATTTAAAGCCGACACTATTTTTGTTATTTTACCAGGTAAAGCCCCACTGAGCTGTATAGCTCTTTTTTTGATTCAAAGCTTTCGTGACTGCAGTAATTCATATTCTTAGCTCTTTCGGTAAAGTCACGTTGAAGGGAAACAATAAAATAATAAAATATATATAAAACAATAAAAAAAATTCTCACGTTTCGACCATAACACAAACGGTCGAAACGTCGTGAGAATTTTTTATTGCTTTATATATTTTATTATTTTATTGTTTCCCTTCAACGTGACTTTACCGAAAGAGCTAAGAATATGTATAGCTCTTTTTCACAAGCGACCTGGCTATCACAAATGATAGCTCAACGAAGCGTCTTATCACGTGGAAATGTTTAGCAGGCAAATACTCTGAACGCGTGTGCATTCTCAATGTGGAGGGGAAAACCGGAGGACCTGGAGAAAAATCCACACGACCATGGGGAGAGAGACACCGCACACTCCGAATATACAGGCGTCAGGGTCGGGATCAAAACCACAACCTCCTGCATACAAGGCGAGGCAGTTAACATCTCGGCACCGTGAAGCCATTCTCGCCATGCTCAGGGAAAAAAACAATACATCGATATTCGAATCGATTCGCCAACACTGAATCGCATCGATTCGTCCGATCGAAAGTGGGGATGGATCACTCCCTCCCGCGCAACCGTTTGACATTCGGTACGTGTGCGCGGTTAGCCAGGCGTGCATCCTCTCATCGAACCGCGGGGGGGGTGAGGTTCGATCCCAGCTTCAGTTAAGACTGTCGGCCTAGGGAGTTGTGTGTTGGGTTGCAATCGAGTCAAACATATCAGGTTGGAAACAAAACTTTCCCACCATCGTCATTCACAACACATGACGGTAATACTGATGAAGTGTATCCCGCAAGAAAGCCTCGCTGAGACTCATCAAGTCTCAACTCTCCGTAGAGGCCTTTATTACGATGTATAGCCAGCCCTTAATGAATGTTTAGCTCCGTGTGGGAGAAAACGAGGAAGGCCTAGGGAAAACCCGGCACCACTTACGGGACATCTGTGACCTAATGGATATCTGTGAAAAAGAGCTTGAAAGCTAATCGGATTCCTCCAGTAGAAATACATATTCTGATTCCGAGTGGTTCACAAAGCCACTCTGGTTGTACCATCATCCCCTGGACACCTCTTAGCTCTGTGGAGTTAGGGAGTTTCACAAATCTCTGCGTGGTCCACCAGCCCCACTCCTCAAACAAAGGCACTGGATCAGAGGCGTGCACAGCCACAAACGCCGTCTCGCGCCCATTATTTTAAACGTTATATCAGTTGGCGAGACAAGTGTTTGATCCCAGCCTCGCCACCACCACCCAAGTAGACGCTACACTCTATTATTACTCGATTGTTGCTCTACGAGGGGTTATGGTGGTCTTCGTGAAGCTGCACCAGCCCCAACTGTCCCCACCACTACGCAAACAAGCCCAACTGTCCGTCCAGAGGAAGGGATGGGGCCTAAAGCAGAAGGGGGCGGCCTAATAAAAAAGGGTGGGGTCTAATCAGGAAGGGGCGGGGTCTACTTGGGAGGGGCGGGGTCTAATCAGGAAGGAGTGGGGCCTAAGGAGTAAGCGGTTGAGCCAAAAGGGAGATACGGCGAAGCCTCAAGGGTCATGGGAGGGGCCTAGAGGTTGAACTTCCATGTTGATTTAAAGTCATAAATGCAAATAATGAAATGCTGCTGCAGTCAGCAAAATGGCGTTCGTGCTGCCGATGCGGCTACATGCCGACCAGTTTTGATTAAAGGGGTCTAATGTTACCGGCACAAAGGGCTCAACGTAACGTTTATCTCTGTCGCGTAATGCCAACGCCGGCTCAGACAGTCAATGTGCCTTCATCGCTTATGAAAATGGTTTACAAGCACATCGCAGTTTTTTTTTTTATAAATTCACCGAACGTTTCGTTGCCATGTTATGTTGCCATGGAGTTGTGCCTTGGCTGGTGTGGCTTACAGATGTTAAAGGCCTTAAAGCAAGACCAAAGCCCTCTAACTTGTTTCATGTTATGTGTTATCACACTGTCCGCATTACAAGACACGATTTTCCCCCCACATTTTAAATCAAACGTTGGGGGGGTGTGCATCTTAATAATCCTGTGTGCGTCTGTACGAGAGCAGATTTGTGTAACTTTATTGACACCACGCACAAGTTTAGGGTGCGGCTTACTTTCCGAAGCATCTCTATTCAGGACATTTCAGCCGTGTGTTTTGTTGCGGCACTGACGGTTTCCATGCACATTCGAAAATGTATCCTACACAGTATCCATGCTGCAGCTTGCACGTCGCCCCCCCCACCCCCATTCACAAGCACACGGCGAAATAAATTAACATTTTTGGCAAACTTTTTTTTAATCGCAGCTGCTACAACAATTATACGTTTTAATATTAAGTTGCGAACACAAGAGCGAATTGAACTACAGTTTGTTGGGTTTTATTCAATGGGAAGATGTACATTTTAGCACGGACTGCAATCTTAATGCTCTTTGGTGTCTGATTTTAAAAAAAAACTGCTTCACTTAAAAGTGAAAATTATTCTCAGAGTGATCCTCACTTCCAAAAGATCCCCGATGGCAAAAGGACAAAATATCTCCCAGATCTTATAGAGGGGAAAGTTGCTCTCAGGAGAAAGCAATCTCATCCTTTAAATCGGTGGTTAACGTTTACTGCAACTTTGCACCCCTTTGATTCTCAATCGTTAAACAAATTATGTCAATGGATACATAGGTGTTTGATGAAACAAAGTAGTTGTACTTACGTGCCCGTGCTTAATTTGTGTTTTGATGATTTACCTTCTAAAAATATCTGGCCACGTCTCGCACCCCTCCCCCCCGGGGGTGCGCGTGCACCCCAGGTGAAGAACGACCTGCTTCGAAAGCTCACGGAACGGATCAAATGTGACAAAGTGAATTCTGACCTATGAGTGGGTGCCGCGTGGGCCCAACAGTTGGCAGGAAAAAATACAATGAGCAGAACTCTGCCACGTGTCTCCACGGACAAATAAAACATATGCTCTAGTTCCAAAGACTTTTGGCTTCCTCGATCAATATTCAGCAGAATGTTTTGTTTTAAGTTTGTTGGCATTCCCTGGCGCCTCCGATTAGCACGTTCGGCCACCACGTAGGGTGCAAAAGAAGCTCAATATACAGCTCACAGGTTTGCGTAAGCAATCAAACTCTGGACGGGTCTGGACCTCCTGGGTCTCGACAGCAAGCGCGAGCACTGTTAGATAAAAGCCGCTGGGTTTAGGCAGACGTTATTGGCAACAGCACTGCACATAAACTACTGGGAGCCCGCGCTCTCGTATTTCCTTCGGGGGGTTTCATTAGCACACGACGCGCTTGCCAAGCAAGTCGCACGTGACTTTGCGTAACCGAGCAAACTCCAGACTCGGCGCCACGACCCCCACGAAACGCGGGGGGGGGGGGGGGGTGGGGGCTGTTTTTTAACGCACGCAACCTGTGACGCGTCCGGCGATTAACACAAATCCGGCGACGACGCGCGAGGTCTTGTTTTCGTAATCAAACCGTGAACGACTCTCGTCGTTGTATCTTGTTCATCTGCTACACGGGCAAGTATCAGCAGGCCCCCTGCGAGCTGCGACTTCGCTCGGCGTTGTCGGGGCATCGTGACGATTGCAGCATCCTTCCGCACGTTCCTCGGGAGTGTGAGAATGTACAGCCTCCCCCCCCCCCGTTTTAAATTAAACTGCACTTTTGAAATGCCGTACGAGGCAACTCGTGAAAGAATTGCGCAACACGCAAGCGTGTGGCTGGTGCGTTGGCACACGCCTTGGGGTCAGATTGATAGCTCACACACGGTGGTAATAAAGGTGCAGCCAGCAACTGCTCGTGCACACTACTGTGGGGGTTGTTCGATGTGTTTCGTTTGCGAGTTATTATCAATGGTCCCTTCACACATTCATCATCAGCCATGATCAATCCACTGCTGCACAAAGGAAACCCCGAACCATCACCAACACACGTGGTGGTCCTGCCGTGCAATAATCCACATAAGCACCTGGACACGAACTCATTTAAATCGCTCCAACCTCCACGGTGTACGACCTCACGTGGCGCCGTTCCCTCTCTTGTGGCTGCCCACAGGCGTTAGTATCGACCACCGTCCCATCGTTAAATAACCCGAAGCGCTTCCAAAGCCGGTGAGCTGCCACCCTCCAAGCTTGTGTGCTTTCTGCAGCCATTACCCAAGATTCCTCTCGCATGCTGCCACACGCCAAGCCTGCATCGGTGTGACAAAATACGTGCCGCCCTCGTTATGTATATCGAACTTCTTTCGCACCGCGTGGGGGGGAAGGAAAAACTGCAGACAAAAAGCAGTTCTAAAGAATCTAGATTTTAAAGTGCACTGCTCCAGTGGATTCCGAATTTCGGAAGAACGTTCCAGACGGCCGCAGAAGCACATCTGAAAGCGCTCTATGCGGTGACCATCTTTGTTCGATGGTTAGCCAAAAGCCGCTGCTGCGAGGTTTACCAGGGTTCGCTTGCCGTGCACGAAGAGCGCAGGGTGTAAATCTGTAATCGGCACGCTGCTAATCTCGATCCTCTGCGGAATGTATTTGCGTACGGTTTTGAATCCATTTCATTGAGCCCCCCCCCACCCTCTAACACCCAGCGGCGTCGCTCCAGTGAGAGCGGGCGCAGAGACTTCACCGGGGCAAAGTTCAATGTCCCCCAACAACATCAGGGTCCAGTTTACATTCAGCAAAACAACATGACCACCACCCCCCACTAGCCCTGCTACCACCCCCATTACCCCCACTCCTCCCACTGTCAACAATGCCACCTCTATCACCACCACCCCCACTACTCCCACTGTCACCACTACTACCACCATTACCACCACTGCCATGACTGCCACCATTACCCCCACTGCCAACAACACTACCGCCCGCCCACCCCCACTACCGCCATCACTCGCACTACCACCACTATTCCTACCACCCACTACCCACACCCCCACTATCACCCCTACCAGCCACACCCACGTCACGAAATGGAGTAAACGTCGCAGCTACAGTGCCTCCTGCTGATCTACGCGAGCATTCGTGAAAATCTGACAAAAGCGCCGGCTCTCGTACAAAATAGACCCCTTTATTACCCTCGTAAGGAAACACAAAAACTTACATTGACATCTGTCGGGGTTCACGGCAAAAGTGAGGCTGGGAGCAAGAGTTCGCAGCGGGCAAGAGCACGGACCCGCAGGGAAGGTTTTAACGCACACGCGCGCACTCACACGCGCACAAACGTCTCCGATTAGCACGCTTGCCTACTACCGTGCGAGAGAAGTTATACACGCACAACTAACCGCTCGGTCGCAAGCCAATGCTGTTTAACCGGCGAACCACAATATCAAACAGCGCGTGTAGAACACGTCTGAAAAAAAAACTACACCACACACAGTTCTACCGGTCGACGGCGTACATTACTCCACGCGAGATCAATCCTCGGGCGGCAACGTGGGCTCAGACGCGCCTCGCTGTTCTCCCTCTTTGTTGCGTCACGAATCTGTCGCATTCGACTTGGGGGGGGGTGCTCGTGAATCCGGTCCACACCTTTCCACGACAGCCCAATTCGCTTCGCAACGTTGCTGCCCGACAACGCAGCCGACGCACGATGCCTTTCCCGGATTGGCCGAGCGCAAAAAAAATTATCCTGGCCAGATCATTTAGCGTTTTTTTTTTGCACGAGCCTTTCGGTGAAGGCGTAGGAGGACGGGGAGGGCGGTGAATGGGCGAAAGTTTAATCCCCCCACCCCCCACCGCGGAAACCGCGAACGGACGATGGCGACGCTTCACTTGCAACCCACGTGCCGTTGGGACGACGCTCAGCGGTGGCGAGGCCCGAGACGGCAGTAGTGGAAGAACTGACGGGCACGGGGAGTCACGAGGATGTCCAGTCGGGGGGGGGGGGAGAGAGAGGGGAGTGGGGGGCGTGGTCGGTTCGTGTGGCGCAAGTATCGCCAGGCAGAAGCCGAGACTTGAAAACCACCTGCCAACGGCAAAGCACCAAAATAAACATCGATGTCGATGGACACTGCATGGAGAGATCAGGTCACCACCAAATGTAACGAAAGAGAGGCACGCCTCACACGCACCCCCCCCAACCCCCCACTGATCTGTTGGAGGCAAAAGCACAGTGGGAAGACTGCGTCGCAAAGTGGCGCAACTGGGATTAGATGAAGCGGAAGCTCCCATAGCCCCAATAAACCGATCCCGAGAATCTGGGGTGATAAACCAGGGACACAGCCAGAGTCTCCAACACCAAATTGCCAACACCACAAAAGAGCCTCCTTGCTGTTTCAACTTTCCCCATGATCCACTGGACCCTGTGCTGAACCGCATCAGGGCATCAGATGCGGAGATCTCCTCCGGAGCGGTCGCGTCAATCCATGGAGCATAACGGCACTGCAATCCGTGTCTATGGGTGTCTGTGCGAGTCTGTGGGTCTCTATTTGTGTCTGTGGTGGGTCTCAGTACAAGTCTATGGGTGTCTGTGCGAGTCTGTGGGTCTCTATTTGTGTTTGTGGTGGGTCTCAGTACAAGTCTGTGGGTGTCTATGTGAGGCTGTGGGTCTCTATTCGGGTCTGTGGTGGGTCTCAGTACGAGTCGATGGGCGTCTGTGCGTCTCTACGGATCTCCACACGAGTCGCACAGTAACGCCACCGGCCGCTTCGACCAACTGGCCGGCAGCGCCGTTCACTAGCTCACCTGGCCAACCCCCGAAAGTGAACAGAGGAAACGTGACAGATCAACTCCCTGCCCCTTCTTCCCACCACCTTGGAAAAAAAAGTAAGACTCCAAAGACCAGCCTGGCAATTTTAACATGAACACAACTGGCTACGGCATTATCTCACTGAACTTTTATGTTTTGATCGTTGAGCGGACACAATGCATTTGTGAGTATTTGTATCCAGGGCAGATATTAGAAGGCGGACTGGGATCAAAACGATTTAATGAAGAGGGGACAAGAACTGAAAGTGATGATGAAAAGGAGCGAGCCGATGTGCCTGAAAAAAAGAAAAATTTCAAATCAGCGCACGCCACCAGCTGTGACGTGGATCACCACGCACACATGCACGGACGAACGCCGACAATGAAAACGGAACAAAAGCTGAAAATGCAGCAAAGAAGCATGGAGAGGTGCATGCTGGGATTTACACTCAAGAGGCAGACAGAGGAATACACGGATCACGGAACAAAACACAAGCCGGAGAAGTCGCACAGAGAGACGATTTAGGAAAGCAAATCCGACTCGATGCAGGACGCGTCGCCGAACGAGATGACGGCCAACGTGCGAGACTAGAGACGAGAATGGCAGCCAAAGGAGAGAACGTGCCCCAACACGACAAAACCGCGGAGGAGGAGCGGAGTCAGCAGCTCGTGCGCAGCACTGGACCGTGAGGAACGGCCCACGGCGCGGGGAGACATTCATCCAGCAGTGGATAGGCAATGGCCGACGATGACAATGACGCCGTCTCCGAGGCTCGGAGGCTGCACTCACCGCCGCTAGACGTCATCGTCGGCGTCGTCGAATTGCCCGGTCTCTCCGTACGGGGGGATCTGTGACGTTGCATCAACTTCCATGCCATCTGATGGGCACCATGGTGGGTGGTGGGGGGGGGGAGGGAACACAAGCACACTCCGTCAACTCCACTCATCCGGTCGTCACAGTCACAAGGAATCGCGCTAAGCAAGTGGAGCCAGGCTCTCCAGATTTCTGCATCGATTCGGCTCGCTCGAGCGATCGAACAGCAAGCAAATAGTAGGGGGGGAGAAATGGCAGGTGATGGGCTGAGCTTAGTGACGCCATTGACCCACGTACAGACCATGCCTTATGGGAGGGCTCCTGCCACTGAGGCAGGATCGTCAGCCCAATGGAAAAAAGCTGCCACTTTTAAAGGGGCCCCGAAATAAATGACAACAAATGAACTTGATTTGAAGCTTTGGTGACTGGAATTCAGACTCTTTAGTTCTTTCAGTAGAGTCTCGTAGATAAATAAGCAATCATGAATAATAAATAACTATTAAATAATTATTATTTTTATACGTGAATTTACCGAAAGAACCAAAGAGTATAGAACATATTAACTGTCTAAGCTCTAGCCAGACATTAAACATGTATCCAGTGCTCCGGATAAGCTGCAATTAAGCAGTGCTAGTGGAGCACATATAGATATATATCACCTCGTATTACCAGCGGAAGGTAATCGGGTGGCTTTGTGTCGTGCAAATCACTTTATTGAGAAAAGCCAGCTGCCTACATCACCCCCCGCTGGCAGACTCTAGCGCCCCCAAGCAGGCAGATTGCCAACACAGGGGGGCAGCTGCCACAGGGGGTCCCCCCCCTACAACAAGGCACTGGAATGGATGGATGGATGCAAAGGGAAGCGACGGAATCATGATGATTTGATTTTGACAAAGAAGGCCCGAGACGCTGGGGCGTCGCAAGAGCACCTCAAGCGCGACGAGAGAATTACATCGCGTCTCATCTCGAAAAACACTTTAAAGGGCACCCCCAGCGGAAGCTGTACATGTGCAGCACAAGGTGACTTCAGCACCTCACCTGCAAGTGTCTGCTAGAAGGGGGACAACGATTGCTATGGATAATTTGCATTGTCCTTTTTAAAATTTGGTAAACTTGGACCATCGCGCGGTTTTGAAACGCCAGGGGATTTTTTTTGTTACGTTCACCCTGAGCGAAGTATTATCGTTAACACACCCGCAGCATTAACCAGGGCAGCCTGCCGGATGTGAACCGCAAATCTCTGCAACAGGTTGCTAACACTCTGCCATCACAAGGCGCAGCCAGTTGCCAGGGGGTGGGGGTCGCCAGGGGGATGATCTTGTGCCGCACAGACAGCTGCCACGTCGGCGGTAGTGGTGGGTCCCCTTGGCGAGCCTCCGTCTCTCACCGTCAGGCTCGGTGCCGTTGCGTTCGCGTACGCCGCCCATGCCAAAGGAGAGCGCCCGGGACGACGCGTCGGCCAGGAGGCCGTCGAGGTGCGCCAACGTGGCGCGGCCCGTGCTCGTCAGCATCCCCAGCCCCTCCTGGTCCCCGTACCAGCGCTGGTGCCCCCCATTGCCCGTGTCCCCCTCTGCGGCGCAAGCGAAGGCAAGCGGAGAGAAGCGATCGGTCACGGTTAGAGAGAGGTTGGAAAAAGGTGTATTATTATTGTTATTGGTACTGCTAAGATTGTTTACCTGGAAGAGCCTCGCCGAGTCTCAAGGCTCATTTTCAGGAGGGTGCTACCTAATTTTCGCAGTAGGGGGCGATGTTGCTGCTGCTGTGTTTGATACCAACTGATTCGCCAGTAATTTATCAGCATTGGGATGTTTGGCCAATACCAGTTGCAATGATTTGTTTTTACTATGCGAGAACCCAGAGGAAACCCATGCAGTACAGGGGTAGATTGTACAAACTCCGCAAAAAAAGGCACCCGTGTTGGGAATCGAACTCAGGTTCTTTATGCTGCGAGGCACTTGTGCTACCGCTGCACCACCCTACCATCCTCAAGTCGCGATACGAGCTGTACATCGTTAAAGAATTGTAAAGAATTGCAAACATAGAAAGCAGGGTTCTGCAACTGGCAGCACTTGGCTGGATGTCAGTGAGAGGGCGAGTGAGTGGGTGAGCAAATGGATGGGTGGGTGATTGAGTGGGTTCTTGAGTGTGCGAGTTGGTGGGTGAGTGAATGGATGAGTGAGTGAGCGGTTTCATAAGTACGAGAGTGGATCGTTGATTCAAAGTGAGTGGGTTAGCAAGTGAGTGGGTTAGCGAGTGGGTGGGTGAGCGAAAGAGTGAATGGATAAGTGAGCAGTTTAGTGAGAGTATGTATGTTTGTAGAACTTATTTCGCACCGCATAGTCAACCGTGCTAATTGGAGGTGCGGATGGATGGGCAAGTGGGTGAGTGGGTGGGTAGGTAACAAGTTAAGATATTAAGTAAGCGAAAGTGAGTAGATGGGACAGGCGAGTAATTAGGTTCTTGAGTGGTTAAGATAGTGAGAGTGTGAGTGAGCAAGTGAGAGAGTAAGTATATGGATGGATGAGTGAGTGACCGGGTGAGCTAGCGAGTGCATTTAAGACCTCCAACGTCGTCGTCGTAAATGTCATCCTCTGAAAGAACCTCGTCTAGGTCAGGATGGAGGGCTTGGCATTCGCACATGGCGGTGAACAGCGCCTCCACTGTAGAAACATCGTCAACACCATCAACACCACTGCTACCAACACCATCCTCAATGTCCCCGCTCACATCATCATCAGCACCACCTACATCAAGGCCATCAACAAGTCAGCACCACCACTATCAACTCTGTCATTACCAACACCACAATTAACACGAGGATCAGCACCACATCACTCTCTTCTCTAGGGAGACCACCATCACCAACAGTCCTTAATATCACCACAAGCAACGCTGCATAATTGATTTCTGGGTCGGATCACAGAAGTAAAATTGTTAAACGAAATGCCCCACACGTTACATTTACATCCAAAAGTGTTAATACCACCGCTGTCGACACCAACACCACCGCCATCGACAACGTAAAAAAAGGCTTCAACCAGCACCAGTGCCTAAGTCACGTTAACAACAAAGAGCCATTACTGTGTTTAATAACCACACAAACGGATTACGGGCAGTCGATAGGCAAGAGATTGACGGCGTACCTAACGGATTGATCACAACTGTGTAATTCATAATGAACAGCAACCACAATAAAATTATAATTTCAGCAAATAATGCCGTTGCTGCTGCTGTTGAACCATTGTGACCATAACCGGACCCCCAGGTGTGGTACTGCACCCCAGGCGAGGAAACTGCACGTACTAACGGAGCTAAACCGCCACGCGGTCACGGGACGTACGCGAGGACGAGTCTCTGGGGACAAAGCGGAGCTCTGTGATGGGGTCGTCGTCGTCGTCATCATCATCATCGTCGTCGTCTTCCTCCTCTTCGTCGCCCTTCGCCCCGTCGCCCGCAGAATCCTCAGCTGCGTTCGCAAACGAGAGCCAGGGCGACAGAGCGCCGAACAGCGCCGTTGGATTAACGAGGAACTGAAAGTGTAATAATATATATGTATGACAAACAATCTCAATTTATCTCAAATTGGCCCTGGCGGCAAACTTTTCCTACCGTGTTGCTCCACGGCGCGGTTGCCGTCCATTTCCCGCAACGACAAAGACCCCCCTGTATAGCTTTAATAGGTACACGAGGGGGTGAGCGGCCAGCGGCACACCTTTGTCTCCCCAGGGGAAATGTTTATACACCGCATCGGCTGAGTCGACCTAGGGGAGGCCCAGGATCGGTTCAGATTTATAGTGGCAAGCGTTAGCCATAAGCGGGAATCGAACTCGGTAGTCGCCAGGTTCGTAGCGCAGCACGCCAACCACTACCCTACCGCTCCCCAAACACAAACTGTTGCACACACACTTATTCGCTCAATATTCATTGCTTATCTGCGACTTGCAGATGACAGTGAGGCAGTGGTCGCCCAGCCGTTCGTTCTCTCCATTAATTTTTGTGTTTATTTTGCCTGCTCTCTAGGCAAGGCCACTCCTCAGATAAAAAAAACAAGATTTGACGATTCCGGAAAGCAAGAGGTGGTGGTGGGGGGTGGGAGGCACGCGGCCCCGCTGCTCTGCTCGTGTCGTCACGCTCACCACGCAGCTTGCCGTTGAGCATCACGTAGAGGTGGTGCTGCGGGAAGGTGTTGGGGTCACGGGACACGGCGTGGAGGCTCACGCGAGGGTACTCCACCGACACGCCGCGGCCCTGCGCATCGCGCCATGCCAGCCGACTGTGGAAACGATGCGGAGCGTCAACGCACAGAGACAACGAATCCACGCCGCGTAGCCTCGCTGCGAGCGAACACCTTTATGTGAAGGTCGGAACGGCACACCGAGAGGGGGTGTGATGTGGCCGGCGCCGTGCCCGGCTATGTATGTAGAACTTCTTTCGCACCGCACGTAGCCAACCGTGCTCATCGGAGGTGCGGCTACCCTTGGCTTAACAGCGATGTCCTTTTTAACAAACCGCACCAAGGGGCCATCCACATTGAGTACGTACGCATGGAGGGGGGGGGTTAACCCAAATGCGTACGCTTGCGTAAGGGGGGTCGACTGACAATGTACGTACGCATAGGATACGGGGGTGGGGGGGGGCGGTAAAGCCTCGATAATAATTTGTATACATTGGCCTTCAAATTAGTTAGATAGTCCGGCGGTGGACTGTTTGCTTGAACACGTTAATATAATTAATCTTTGATGGTTTTATAAGATTCGGGGGGGGGGGGTGCGTCAAGCGTACGTACGCAGGTGGGGGGTGTAAAAAGTACGCGTGCGTACAGGGAGGGGTGTAGGGGTCAAGTTTTGGCAGATTTTTGCGTACCTATTAAATGGATGCCCCCCCCCCCCACCAAGTGTTCGTTTTAAAGCTGAGTCGACGTAGAAGAGGCGCCCAGTACCGGTTCAGATATTCGTCATTGATGTTGGATGTGAGCGGGAATCCAACGCAGTTCGCAGCGATTGTAGCGCATTGTTTACAGGGCAATACACTACCCAATCACTGCGCCACCGCTCCTCACACGGCCATCTCGCACACACGTGCGCTGGCCATTACAGCTAAGCTACCCTGTTATTTAAATAATTATCGATGCCTCCACCGATTCAATTATAGGTTCGATTACACGGCTAACCCGGATAAACACGTACATTGCTGCAGGGTGGGGAGGCATGGGAGGCCTCTGTACAACGAAGAGCTCATTTCCCATTTAAATCCCCGAGTTTTAAAAGAAACGTTTACTCAGAGCCATTACACCACCTCGAGGGAATGGGCCCCCAGAAGAACTGCACTCTAATTCGGAAGCTACCTTGCTCCATCCCAAACGACGCCACCACCCATTTTACTGGAAGTGTTCATCGCCCGTCCAACTAAACTAAAATAATCCCACGGATGCAATTTATACAAGTGTAGTGAAAACACAAATGTAACGTTTGTGTACGGTCAATGGTGACCTGGCTATGACCATCGCCTTGCAAGACTTGAGAAGCCATTTTAATTACGGGCATAACCCGGATTCGAACCCAGGTTCTCAGCAATGAGACCCACACCCCGTACCACCACCATCTCCCTAACCGTAACTTTAAACACTCACTCCCCACCCCCATTACACAGACAACAGACTCTTTGGATAGCCATGGACTCAAAATTCTGGGTTATGCATCTTCCATCTCAGAGAATGTGGTATCTTTGGCTGTGCCTTCTTCAGGTTAAGATGTGCACATCATGCTTAACATCAATCATCATAAACACTAACATCATCACCATTCCCATCACCATCATCACAATCATTAACACCACCATTATGATCACTTCATCACCATCATAACCATAATCATCACCATTATCGTAATCACAACTATCATCCATCATGACTACGATTCGTAACACCATAGTCATATTACCGTCATGATGTCAACACCACAATCATCACCACGACCAACACTATTTAAACTAAACTGTGAACTATTTTTTTTATTTTACCAGTTAAGGCTCACTGAGCTATGCAGCTCTTTTTCAGAAGCGACCTGGCCACAAATGATAGCCCAATTCAGTGGCTTATCACGCGGAAATGTACAGAAACCAAAACACAGAACGCACGTTGTTGATTCTAAAAAGTGGAGAGAAATAGGAGGACCCCCAGAAAAATCCACGCGGCCACGAAGACAAAAAGACAGCAGTGGTCAGGGTCGGGTTCGCACCCACGACCAGGCGAAGGTAGTCAACATCTCATAGCCACCGCGAAGTTATAAACATTATCAACATTAACATTACAAATCAAAAACCACTATGACCACCATCATTATCACCGATTCACAATAATTGCCACCACCAAAGACAAAGATCCCCCCCGTATAGCCTCAACAGACTATAGGGGCAAGTGCAGTTACCGAGCGCCTACGAAGGCCGGCACGGCACACGAGGGGGTGAGTGGCCAGCACCACGCCCGACCGCCTTTGTCTCCCCCAGTGGCGACGTTTACACACCGCACCAAGGTACTAATTTGAGGCTGGGTCAACCTAGGGGAGGAGGTCCAGGACCGGTTCAGATGATCGTCACTGGTGGCGTTGGCCGCGAGCGGGAACCGAACTCGGTTCGTAGCGCTGCTCGCTAACCCGCTACTGACCATCATCATCACAATAAGAGATTGGCCATCACCAGGATCATCCCTCACCTCTCAGCCACGCACAAGACGCCGCTGCCCGCGTCTTCTCCGTTCACGAACAGCGACATCGCCGATTCCTGGTGCTTCACGCCGTCGTCCGGCAGAGCCACCTCACTCAGCATCAGCACCATCGCACAACGAGTGAGCAACTAATCGCGTTTCGTTGCAGAGGAAACTCAACAATTAGCACTTTGAAGTTAGCAGCAGCAGCGGCGGCGGCGAGTCGCGCGCCGTACAACCGCTCGCTAACTCCGCGACCAATAATAAAAAAAGTGTGTATATCTAAACGTGGAGCTGCCAAATTGAAATCGCTCTTGGGCGTCAATAGGATCTAAAAGAACAGCGGTTGTTCTAATTGCGAGAGGGGATCGGTGTGTTTGAAATCGAGGTTTAAATGTCGAGAGGCGCGCGCGCGACAAGAAGCGACCGCGTTTTAGCGCCAAAGCCGCCGGAACTAGCGAGGCCGCACGCGTCACGTGGTCGAGATTCTTGGGGTTCAACCCGGAACTGTGCACGTGGGGGGCGTGGGGGCGGGGCGCCCGCGTGGGGGCGGGGGCGCCCGCGTGGGGGCGGGGGCGCCCGCGTGGGGGCGGGGGCGCCCGCGTGGGGGCGGGGGCGCCCGCGTGGGGGCGGGGGCGCCCGCGTGGGGGCGGGGGCGCCCGCGTGGGGGCGGGGGCGCCCGCGTGGGGGAGGGGGGCGCCCGCGTGGGGGCGGGGGGCGCCCGCGTGGGGGCGGGGGGCGCCCGCGTGGGGGCGGGGGGCGCCCGCGTGGGGGCGGGGGGCGCCCGCGTGGGGGCGGGGGGCGCCCGCGTGGGGGCGGGGGGCGCCCGCGTGGGGGCGGGGGGCGCCCGCGTGTGGGCGGGGGGCGCCCGCGTGTGGGCGGGGGGCGCCCGCGTGTGGGCGGGGCGCCCGCGTGGGGGCGTGGCGCCCGCTCCATTTCACGTGGGGCGGCTTTTACTCAAGTTTTATACGTTCGGCGACTTAGCTAGGATTATTTTTTTTAATATACTGTACATAGCGATTTCATAAAGACTTTGATCAATTATAAATGGTACATTAATGTTGGGGTAAAAGGGACGGGGTTTAAGTGTTGGGGAGGGGAAGGGGTGGTAAGGGAAGGTGATGATAGGGAAAGGAAGGGCTGGCGAGATTTGGAAGGGGGAGGATGGTAAGGAAGGCTGATAATAGGGAGGATGGTGACTGTTTTAATGACGAGGAAAGGAATTGGTAGAGGGATACGCTATTGAATATAGATTAGTCTTAATGGAGGAACGAAAAATGGTCAGTGAAGTTGCCTGTTTTCATATTTTATCAGGTAAGGCCCATTGAACTCTTAAGGTTATTTTTCAGAAGCGACCTGGTCCCAAACGATAGCTCAACGAAGTAGCGTATCGTCACGTGTAAATGTATTGCAGCCAAATACTAATAAAACGCACGTTGAATCTAAATGTTGAGGACCCGGAGAAAAATTCGCACGACCACGAGGAAAGAGAACATGCAAACTGCAAATATACAGCAGCAGGCGTCAGGGTCGGAATCGAGCCCACGACCTCCTGTATGCTAGGCGAGGGAGTGAACTTCATTTCACATGGTCAGTAGCTAACTTAGCCGGTGGGCTGAAACACAGCCCGCGACTTAATTGTATACCACTGGGCAACATGAGGCCTCCCACCACTGCGAGACGGCCCGCAAACAGTATTTGGCTATCACTGCATCTTAGGGAGGGGCGGGATATTTTCGACCTGATAAACAAAATTTACAAAATATGAAGAGGTATTTGCATATATATTTTGTTCGCCTGTACCTACAGTACTTAATGTTATTAAGTCATCCAGGAAAGCAAGAGTGGATTCTGCATTGAGATGTTTGGCCAATTCCATCTCAACGTGTCCTGCCGAGGACATATTGTACTAAATTGTCACGTTTAGTAAATTACATTTTGTACTTTCAAGAATAAAACCTAATACGGTATAGATGGGTGGAAATTCCACATTCATTTGACCAGGTCTCGTCTATCCATAGAACAACCACTGACTTACCGGACATCATGGCCAACAGTGGTGATACCGCCAGCACGTGAATGGCAATACAGTACTCTGGAGCTGGTTTGAGTTACCCCGGAATGGGACATGGACTTACAATTTATTGGTTGTATTATTTTATAGGAAACACAATTTATACATCATGGGTCCGTATGACCAAATTACCCGCAATGCATCCGATCTCACCATCAGGTCTGAAGTTAAGCAGAAATGGGTTCTGGATCGTTCCAAGAGCAAACACCGTACATAACAGGTGTTATAGGCTGCAGGGCACCGTTTTGGGTAGTGCAGCAAAATCAATTGTAGTGCACTTCTAGGTTGCTTTATCTTCACTAACCCACTGACCAGCATGGTGAAATGTGAAGTTTGGTTCAGTCAACCCCACGAACTTTTTGACACCTGGATGCCCTCATCCAACAGTCGATATACCACGTGTTCCACCAATGTTCTGGAGGCCATGGTGTATTGGCTTACACGACCACACCTGGCTGATGAGACTAGGTTATGTTTAGCAGTTGAGTGATGCCCAAATAAGGAAAATAATTTTAGTAAACATAGGTTTGATTTAAGAAAATCACTGGGAAATCACCCATTTTTCAAATGGACTTTGAAGACAGTGACATGGGCAATTTTCACCGTGGAAGTATATATTGGTCCAAATGTAAAATAGTTTAATTGTACGAATACTTATGCTTGTATGTCATGCCAACCTTACTGAAAAAAAGGCAACATCAATTGGCAGCCATCTGCTTATTCGGATAATTGCTTTCTTTACATTTCCTATTTCTCCTCGACATATTTCCATGTCACCAATTTAACTCAATCCACTGCTGGATGAAGGCCTCCACACTGTTAGTCGTTGGACCTTACTTCACCTGGCTGGTCAGTGCAGGTTTTTGGAGAGGGGGGCAGGGGGTGGGTGCAGAACCAGTTCATCGCCAGGAATCAAACTCAAGTTGTTGGGTTTATAGTGCAGGGCACAAACCCCTGCATCACCACTCCGCCCCACTGCCATGTCAAAAGAACTTTAAAAATTGCTGGGAAATTTTATTGGCACGTTTTCATAAATAAATAGGAAAAGCCACATTTGCCAACACATGCATCAGCCCTTAAACTACTGGATCAAGTTATAACAAAAAAACACAGCTGAAGTGAACGAAAACCACACCAACACAGGCAAAAAGGCAGGATCAAGCAAGCAAAATGCTGACGACTGGTTTTATTTGCAGTGCGGGGGGTGATGCTACTACCACGCAAAAGGACACAGCCAGTGTAACTCTTTATGTTCCATGAGGACATTTAAAACGGATATAAAAGAATTATCCATAGGGGTTGACACGTGAATACCGACATCACAGCATCGCTACTATCATAACGCGACACTTCGTTATAAATACATCGTTGCTACAATACAGTAATAACACGGGACACTAGCTGTGGTTCATGTGACTACTTAAAGGCATACTGTTTCGTTTTACTGTAAAAAGCTTTAATTTGCAACTTAAGCAGTCGTCAGTGACAGAAAACAATTTGTAAGCGTTTCTGCTCTACAAGCGTGCAGATAAAAAACGATGAGAATAAACCAAATTAAATCTTTCCAAAAATAAACAATGAAAAAAGTTGACAACTTGGTTTTTAAACACCTGTATGGTGGACTTTTAACCACCACTGTTCAATAGAGTCCAAACAAGTCAACACTTTGTTTCATCTGACCACCTTTGGATAAGTGACACACTTTACTTCCAAAAAGTTTTAGGCTAAGTTGTTACATATAAGTTTTTTTTTATATTTTCCACGTTTCTTCTCAAAACTGCTTATGAGTATGAATGCAACTATGAATAACGCTAATAACTTTTCGGTTTCACACACACAGGTTTTGTCTCAATGGACAGTGGGGGAGCAATGTGTCCTGCAAGGAGCTCTTTTTCATCTCACGGTCCCATGCACCTCTGTACACCAGCCACAGCATCTGGCGAACGCTTCACCTGTTTCCCTGGAAGTGGGAAACACAACTCCGTCATTTGGACATCCTAGCGTTTTCACGTATGCAAAGTTACACACAAAGTAGAGAACATTTAAACAGAACAGTTCACTCAAACACCATGCTATGAGACCACACTGTCCAATTTTTATCACTTCCGATAGCCATTCCATCCGAATTACTTTCCCCACAAATATAATTTGCTCTCTTTGCGCGACCTCTGCAAAGTTAAGCACAAACGGTTAAACACAATCGTTCCAAATCTGCTCTGTAATTCTGCAAAAGTAAAAAAAGTTGTAATCAGCAACACATAGCAGTGCAGAGGGCCAGGTTTATATGTACACACCAGACGCACAACCACGTGTCTTTTAAGCATCTCACCACAACACCAATCCATTTTCAGCGGTGCACAAACACCACCCAGCAGATAATTTCAAGGCTTAAACATGCACAACACCGCATGTACATATCATGACTTACCGGCGGGACTTTTTAAAAGCCACGTGGTCGTTCATTCTGCGATAACTAGCAACTACCTATACGATTAAAAGGCTCCTGACCAGAAAGGGACTATTGGGGGAGCTTTATGCGGGCATGTGTACAGAACCCTATTCATGACTTCACGCCTACGGGAATTTAGCAAATTTTGTACAGGGCTAAGTCGGCGAATAGGAAATAAAACTGATCAAATATCACACGTCGGAGTTTCATGAATAGAAAAACCAGCCAAAATAATCTCGTTAAGAAGAGCTCGGCAAAGCCAGCCCCAGCTGCTCAAAGACCCGGTGATCACGGCTAAATCGACATCATCATCATCATCACCACCACAACCTTCGTTTTTGTCTATTTCTCTTCAGTTAATAAAACGCGCCGCCGTTACACTACTCTCCCGTCACATAGTCCACCAGATCCTCTACCCCGAGGAGGTCGTCCGCCACATCCTCGTCGTCGTCACCGCCGCCTCCGCCCTCCTTGGTAGCGCCCGCGCGCCGCGAGGCCCTTGCGGGGGGCGGTGGCGCCCCCTCGTCCTCCCCGGAGGAGTCGCAGGCCGCCGCCGCCGCCGCCTTTGTGCCACGAGCGGCTGCTGCCCGCCGGGGCCTCCTGGGCCGGGCGTCCCGCGCACGCTGCGCTTTTCCTGCCGCTATCGCCGCCTCGTCCGCATCTTCTCCACTCTCGCCGCCGCCACCACCGCTGCCCTCCTTGTGCTCCCCGTGCTCCTCACTGCTGCTGCCGGCACCGGCACCGCCAGTCGTGGTCCGGCCGCTCCGAGCAGCGCGTTTGCGCTTGGGCGTGCGGACTGGGGCACGGGCGCTCGACGGCCGTTTTTGACGTCGCTGTGCACTACCGCCAGCGCCCGAAGCCCGCCGCTGCCGAGACCCAGCAGGCTTGGCTCGTTGACCTGCCTTTTCCTCATCTTCCTCCTCCTCCTCCTCCTCGTCAGAGCTACGAGCCCGTGCAGCTGGTGCCGCCCTCCTGCGTTTCCGCAC